CTATCCTGCGCCTCGCACAAACCCCAAACCCCGACCCTCGGCCATCTGCATCCCCGGCCTACCTTCCCCTCGTCGCCACCTTCCCCTCGTCGCTACCTTGTCCTCGTCGAGCACGAAGCAGTCGTACACGTCGTCCCACCCCTCGTGCAGCTCTTTCTGTCGCACGACGTCGCCCACGTTTACGTGTCGCAGGCCCGTCGCCTCTGCTACCAGCTGACTCGTCGACGTCTTCCCCGTGCCGGGAGTACCCGTTATGAGCACATTCGGCCGACGACCATCGCGTGCTCCGGTATTAGCAGGGACGGTGGAGCCCATAGGGAGGCCCATATACCGGAGGCAGGCTCGACTGCGATGAGGCGCGCGATGTCAGCGCAGATCGATATTCGCAGAGCGGGTCGGAGGAGCAGGGAGCGGAGGGCGAGGAGCGAGAGGAGAGGAGCGAGAGGAGAGGAGCGAGAGGAGAGGAGCGAGAGGGGAGGAGAGGAGAGGGGGGTGGCGACGAGGAGGCGCAGCGGGAGGCGGACGTGGGCGGGGAAGGTCAGCGCGAAGGAGTCGCGAGGAACGAGGAGGCGAGCACCATCCGCGAGACGAGTCAAGTGAATCACAGTGCTGAGAAGCAGGGACCTGCACAAGCAGACGGACAACAATGGGTGCTTGGTCGAGCTCAAGCACAAACGGCAATTGCGTTTGTAACAGGTTCTTTATATTCTACCTACTTTCAAAACGAAGTCATCATTGTTATATTTGGTGAGGAATACTCAGCAAAGTTACCATTTATGCATTCCTGATATAATATTTAGACTGTACTAGTAGCACGATACCTCATATGGAAGGACGCGCATGATGACGTCAGCAGTAGCGAGTCAACCAGGGTCCTCCCTAGGTTTTTTCCACTTTCTGATGATCAGACGGGCTCTTTTCCTGATTTCCCTGACGAAATGAATACCGATTTCTGGAAATTCAGATGAAACCTTGTATAATTTCTGATCGTCGAAGTCCAGTTTAGCTGCAGTAAAGTCACGTGCGACAGGGGGAAACAAAATTTTCCGAGTTCAATTTCTGAATGCCTCGAGGGTCATTGGGCGGATGGGGCGCATTAGAACGAAATGTTTGGACTCAAATTTTGATTGGCGAGAAAAACACGAAGTTGTTCGTGCTGGGCGAAATCAGGACACGGGCGGGCTGAGGTTGGGGAAGAATCGAGAGATTTCAGGGGCGGGGGGAATCGAGCTGGGGGTGGTGGGGAGATTCCACATAGCAGGGGCGGGGAAAGGGAATCCTGCCCTTTGAAAGATCCGTGCTAGTACAAGTTGTGGGGGAGTGGGGGTGGGGTGGGTGTGGTGGGGGAAGGGGGGGGGGGGTTTGTGGTTATGAGGACGCCCTCGCACAGTCAGCTACACATCCCTTGATTTGATTTGCCCTACATGAACAGCCAATCAGCTCAATCACTCGCCCTCCAGCTCACAGCACACATGGCACCGGAATTTGGTGAAGGCCCAATCAGCCCAGTCACTTGCCCTCCAGTGCACATGGCGCGGTAATTTGGTCAAGGGCCAATCAGGCCCCTCACACAACCTAGAACACGAAGCAAGCAGGAATTTTGGTGAAGGGTGAATTAGCCCCTCATACAGCCTAGAGGGGGGCTGTATACAGCAACCGGTCTCAGACGAGCAGAATCGCTAAATTGTGAAAGTTGCTTAGTCCATCTTGCAAAGGCAGCGTGCTTCATTTCAGATGGGGCAGCGTGCTTCATTTCAGATGGGTGGTTACATAGTTCTCGTCACTAAGCGCACATACATTTGAGGGAGGGTGGGGGGGAACTCAAACTAGAAACTGAAAATGAGGAACGTGGGTGAGGCCAACTGGCCTCACGTCCCTCTTTTGTAGGCAAAAAGAGGGTGAGTAGCGGCGCGCCGCTACCTTTGTTGTGTTGGCCACGTTTCCACTTTTACAATACACAATTTTAGCAAGCGTGTAACACTTTCAAAAATTATCATATTGTGAAAGTTGCTTAGTCCATCTTGCAAAGGCAGCGTGCTTCATTTCAGATAGGCATTATGAGGCATGTGCATCGGGGGTCGCCGGTGTTGCTCGATCGATTGCTGATGTCGGGCAGGTGAAGGGGCCGTGGAGGTGTCTTGTAGTTGGTTGGAGACTGCAACGAGCTGGTCCTGAGCAATGGTGACATATAGCTCCTTTGCGCTATCGCTTTTCCAGCGGCCAAGACGTTTGAAGAGACGGTCGGGGACCCCCAGGCCGGCTGCGGCCGTGGCTGCGCCCTTGCGGAAAGAGTGAGTGCCGAGATGGGAGGCATCGAGGCCAGCCTTCTCGAAAGCTTCAAGGCACCAGTTGCGAATGGTGGGGTACGATGGGGAGTTGTCTTGCGGGGTCGCGCGTGCTCCTTTGCCGAATACTCGGATGAGCGGCCCGTGCGGCATGCGCGTAAGGCCGGCGAGCTGAATGAAGTGGCGGGTGCATCGAATTGGACAGCAGGGCCCCTGTGTCGCGGCCACTGGAATCCATGAGCCTTTGCCTTCCTGGTCCGTCTTGGAGTGTGGGATGAGAAGCCACATTACCTCCTCCTCAAACTGTATGTCATTCCATTGAAGCGCGACTAGATCGGAGTAGCGCAGGAACGCCGCAAACATGAGAAGAGGGATCAGACCCTTTTGGTATTCCGCCGGGATTGTGGATTCGAGGAAGGGCCGGGCCATGCTGTGAACTTGGAGCAGCGAGAGGGGCTCTTTGTGTCTAGTAGGGCGCGGTCCGTGACGTTTGGCGTACTCTCGAACTTGCAGCGTGAAGGGGCCGCTCGTCGGGGAGGGTTCCCCTGTCATGCGGTGTGCGAAGGCTACAGCGGGGCAGGTGAGGGAAACGGCTGACACGGTAGCGTTATTGTTGAGCGCATGTATGAGGTACATCGCGAGGGTTAGGTCGGTTACGGGTAAGAAGCTCAGCTTGTTCATGATACAAAAGGATCGAAATTTCAACCGGTAAGGCTCATACGTTTGGACTATGGATGGGGCGCGGACTTGGGTGATGACTTGCAATAGTTGTTTTTGCAGCTTGGGCAATATTCCTGAGATTAAATGTACAGAAATTGGGAATTATCTATTATAGTCAAGACTCAAAGCAATCATGGGGCTGTTAGGGAATCCTAAACCCGAAAATGCTGTTGCATGCGTGCCAGGATGCAGACATTGGCTTCCGTAGGTAAGAGGGAGATAGGCTACAACTCCCGACACCCAAACGTTGGGTGAAGGTTGGAGGAGTGGCCACCAGGATGCACTAGACCAATGGGGGACAACCAAAGTCAACTTGGCTTTGGTCCGTTGTGCGTGGCGAAGGATCGCCGGGACTAGGTTGGGTGGTGGAAAGGCGAAGCCGCGCTCGCCGTGCCAACAGACTGAGAACGCATCCGTGGCGGTTGCACCCGGGTGTGGAATCTTGGAACAGTATCGCGGTAGTTGTGCGTTATATGTGTTCGCGAAGAGATCAATAGAGTGGGGGGCCCACCTCCGCTCGAGAAGGCGAAACCAGGGGGCTTTGAGTGTGTAGTCGTCATGGTCCTGTATCTTGGAGAGTTCATCGGCGTGAGCATTCAACTCGCGTGGGATCCATTCAATATCGAGGCGTATGAGATTCTCCAAACAAAGACTGATGATTTCCTGGCATAGGAGCGTAAGGGTGGGTTGGCGAGAGCCCCTTTTGCGTAGGATGAATGCGACACCCTGGTTGTCGACCCGCACGAGGACATGCCTTCGAGCGATCCGAGAGGCGAATGTGCGTAATGCCCATATGATGCCTTCGAGCTCCCTCCTGGTACTGGAGGTTGGAAGAAGCCCATCTGGCATCCGGGCGCTGGCTTCGGCTGCAGATCCTGGGAAGGTGGTGAGGGTGGCACCCCAACTGTGTGCGCTGGCGTCGACGTGGATGACGACATCGAACTGATGACTTGAGTGGAATGCCGCCCCGTTGAATCGATCGAATTGTGTGCGCCAAAACAATAACTCTTCAACTGCTGCCGGCGACAGCAACGTCCTGGAGCTCCAAGATGTGGCGTGGGCGATGATTTGTAGTAGCTCTTGGCTGAAGGCGCGTGCTGTTGCACCTAACGCCAGTGCCATCGATGCTAGCATACCGGTAACGCGGGCGATCTGCCGCACCGGAATGTGATGTCCCGCTTGTCCTTTTACGATGAGGGTCTGGAGGGTGCTCAGGAGTTGCTCCCGTCGTTCCGAGCCGATCGAAAACATGCCCCGGGCTGTGTCCAACTGAAGACCGAGGAAGCGTAATTGTTGGGATGGGTGAAGATGTGACTTCTTCGCATTTATGACGAAGATTGCTGCCTTGAGGTCCTGTAAAACCTTGGTACATATGGACCGTGCCTGCTGAGCTGAGTCGCATAGGAAGAGCAAGTCGTCGACATACGGAACGACCCGCACGCTTCGCGCACGCCATCGCTTTGCGAGCTGTTTGATGAGTTGAGTAAAGACAAACGGGGTGGTTGCAAGGCCGAATGGTAGAGACCGAAAGTAGTAGTACTCATTTTCGAATTGAAATCCTAAGAACCTCCAGCAAGATGGATGAATCTCGACATGATGGTACCCGGACTTGAGGTCGATCGAGAAAAGCCAATCATTGGGCTGAATGATCTCAGCAACACGGCTCAAACCCTTGTACTTGAACTTGGGGACAACGAGATGCGTGTTGGCCTTGCGTAGGTCGAGAATGAGACGGCACTTGTCTCGCTGCTCCACAACATTCAGCGGGCTAACGCACGTCAACATTGCTTTGGAGGGGGCCTTGACAGCAGATCCAGAAGCCACGAGTTCACTGATGGCACTGCGGGTAAAGTCCATGTGTGCCCGTGTGCCCGCGTGATTGGTATCGGCGAATGGGGCTGGTGCAGCGCGTGCCCAAGGCAACCAATATCCCTTTGCGATGATTGAGAGAATGAAGCTACTATCACACCAAGAACACCACCAGTGTAGTGCATGTCGTAATCGGCTCCGCATGATTGTCACTTGTCGATCTGTGATTGCGTATTCGTATGGATCCCATTCTGCGAGTTGCCATGCGCCGCCGTTAACTGCAGTATGTGTGTAACAAGCAAGGAGAGGTGGGTGTGAGGTCGGCTTAAGGTTTTGAGACACTTGAAGATCTGCAAGGCGAAATGTGCCCGACTCTCGGGAATTGTTGTTTCTCCTAGCGAGCATAATGCCGGTGATGGCAAAGTGGTTGCGGTATGTGCGTGCGCGGACTCGTGCCCATTGAGCCAATATACTCCTTGGGTTTCACACCCACCCATAATTCCATTCCCTCGTTCGCTCTCTTCTCTCTCCCACTCTCTCTCCCTCTCTCTCTCTCTCTTTCTCTCTCTCTCTCTCTCTCTCTCTCTCTCCCTCTCTCTCTCTCTCTTTCTCTCTCTCTCTCTCTCTTTCTCTCTCTCTCTCTCTCTCTCTCTCTCTCTCTCTCTCTCTCTCTCTCTCTCTCTCTCTCTCTCTCTCTCTCTCTTCTCTCTCTTGACTCACTCTGTCTCTCTCTGCCTCTCTCTCTTTCTCTTCTCTCTCTCTCTCTCTCTCTCTCTCTCTCTCTCTCTCTCTCTCTCTCTCTCTCTCTCTTCTCTCTCTCTCTCTCTCTTCTCTCTCTCTCTCTCTCTCTCTCTCTCTCTCTCTCTCTCTCTCTCTCTCTCTCTCTCTCTCTCTCTCTCTCTCTCTCTCTCCTCTCTCTCTCTCTTTCTATCTCTCTCTCTCTCACTCTCTCTCTCTCTCTCTTCCTCTCTCCCTCTCTCTCTCTTTCTCTCTCTCTCTCGCTTTCTTTCTCTCTCTCTCTCTCTCTCTCTCTCTCTCTCTCTCTCTCTCTCTCTCTCTCTCTCTCTCTCTCTCTCTCACTCTCTATCTGTCGTTTTCTCTTTTGCTGCCCTTTTATCTTGCTCTCCCTCCCTTGTCCTTCTTCTGTTGTTGCTGGTATCTTTCGGCATGGCTCGAGGCATTAGTGAAGCATCATTGCCTCCCGACAAATATCTGTGCTGCTTCTTTTTTCTTTTTCTTTTTGCTTGTTGCTGTTTCGATTGTTTGTGCTGGTTCCGTAAGTGTGCGCACCATGGCTTACCCATGAGCCATTGCATGTTTTCGGCCAGCAACCTCAAGTTGTGCCCTTTTTTTTGTTTTTTTTTATAATGATAATAATGAAAGCCCGGACTATCAACTTATACTATGAGCAAGAGTGCTCTACACACAAACGTTGCAGCAAACACCTAGGCCTTGTAGCCATTTCCGCCCCTAGGGCTGAAGCTTGTAGGACCCTCTGGTCCCCATGCCTATTCCCAAGGCTCACAACCAGCCCCACAACACCGGTGCACATTACATATGCTCCCGGCATATGAGCGAGGGGCACCACCCCTAAGTCCCCTCACACCACCGGTGAGGGACCTTGCGCGCCACGCCCCCCCATGGGGCAGGCGTTCGCCATGTGACCGGGCTGGCCACAGCGAAAACAAACCCCCTTGAAACGGGGTTCCTGGCAGCCAGCGGCGCCAACACTTTTGCCCTCCAAGTCACCCTCCCGGCCGCCAATGCGGGGACCGCGCGTATAGCCGGTGCGCGCGCGCTTGAGGGCCGCCACGTCCGCGACAGCGAGCTTGTAGGAGCGGGAGGTGAGCACGCTCTTCGACAGGTACAACTGGAAACGGTCCGCCGCCTCGAAACCTGCCTCGTCCGCCACCAAAAGCACCTCGAAGCGCTTGTTGATGAGTTCTTCGATGTGCGTGACGTGGGAGAGGGCGGTTTCATTGTCGCCGTGCTGGAGGTTGTAGTCCACGTGCTTCAGGTGTGCCTAGATGGCGGCAAAGACTTCCGCCTGGTCCCGCACCCCCTTGCGGATGAAGGTGGTGGCCACGGGCGAGGGGTTAAGGGGAGGGAGAGGGGGGGCGGAAGGAAAAATGCGACGACGAGCGATATTATTGGGAGCCTCACCGTCGTCGTTGTCAGAGTCGTCGCTGTCGGCAGGTGCAGGTGCAGGTGCAGGAACAGGTGCAGGGGCCGGGTCGTCGGTGCGTGGGGTCTTGTTGGCGCGAGGAGGGGGCATGGGCGATTACTTCTTATCATTTTTAGTCGGAGCGGAAATGTTGTCGGAAGTTCCGACTGTAACGGGGGCTTGCTGGTGTAACAGCGCCTGGAGCGCTTGCAGCTGCTGCGCAGTGAGCGCGGGGGCGGCGTTGACTGGCGCGTTGACCAATGCGTTGACTTCGGATGGTGCCATAGGGCGCCTTGACGAGGTGGGGCCCGCCTGGCCCCCTGACGTGCCAGCGATGTCGTCCACGTCAGCGGGCGTCACCTTGGTAGTCTCGCGCTGCTGCTTCGCAGCTGCGCGATCCTCCAAATTTGACGCCACGCGCTGCTGCTTCGCAGCAGCAGCGCGTGTTTCTTCCGACGTGCCGAGGAGGACCTCGACACCAGAAGGGCCCTCGCCGAAATTTTCGGCTGGGCGTTTCTGGCATCGGTCGGTTACCCTGGGCGAACTTCCGAGCTCCGGAGCGACGGCGGGTGTAGACGGCTTGTTAACCTCCCGGTTAGGAGGCGTGGTCATCGGCGCCATGTTTGCGAGGTTGCGCTGGAGAATGTCGGTGAGTAGTATGGCTGGAGCCTTGAAGCAGGGGAGGGATTGGGTCTTCGCCAGGTTGGACGAGAACTAGGAACTCAAACTAGAAACTGAAAATGAAGAACGTGGGTGAGGCCAACTGGCCTCACGTCCCTCTTTTGTAGGCAAAAAGAGGGTGAGTAGCGGCGCGCCGCTACCTTTGCTGTGCTGGCCACGTTTCCACTTTCACAATACACAATTTTAGAAAGCGTGTAACACTTTCAAAAATTATCATGTCTGAAACATCAGAAGAACAAGTACATAGTTCATGGAAAATCAGAAGAACTAAAATTCAATTTCTAAGGCATCAGAATTTGTATTTTTGGACGTCTGAAAAATCAGAAGAATCCGAAAAATCGCGCCTGAAAATAAGACAGACAGACGGATTTTGTCTGTTAAGGAGGACCCTGGAGTCAACGCGTGAACAGTAGGTTCGCGCGTATAGTCATCCGAAGGGTCACTCCACTCTCAGTCAAACAAACAGTCATTAGTCATGTCACGCGGATAGTCGCGATACACTACGAACAGGTACATCCCGGATAGGTACTTCCTAGACTATAAATATGTATGTTTTATCTATTATTATTATCCTTGTTATTTCAGAGATTTCCTTTTCAAGGTGTAAAGTCTTCCACACACTTTTACTCTTGGTTCCACCAACTCTAGACCCGCCCTAGCAGCGCGTTCCATGCCCCTAACAGCGCGTTTCACGTGTAGGATGCTCCAAGTAGGATGCCCGTAGCAGCACGATCTGCCCCTAGCAGCACGTTTCACGCCCCTAGCAGCGCGATCTGCCACTAGCAGCGCGGCGCACGCCCCTAGCAGCGAGATCGACGCCGCTAGCAGCGCGTTTCATGCCCCTAGTAGCGCAATCCGCCCCTAGCAACTCGTTTCACGCCCAAGCAGCGCGAACTGCCCCTAGCAGCGCGGCGCATGCCCCTAGCAGCGAGATTGACGCCCCTAGCAGCGTGATCCGCCCCTAGCAGCGCGTTTCACGCCCCTAGCAGCGCGATCCGCCCCTAGCAGCGCGTTTCACGCCCCTAGCAGCGCGAACCCTCCCTAGCAGCGCGGCGCACGCCCCTAGCAGCGAGATCGACGCCCCTAGCAGCACGTTTCACGTCCCTAGCAGTGCGATCCGCCCCTAGCAGCGCGTTTCATGCCCCTCGCAGCGCGATCTGCCCCTAGCAGCACAGCGCACGCCCCTAGCAGCGAGATTGACGCCCCTAGCAGCGAGATCAACGCCCCTACCAGCGCGTTTCACGCCCCTACCAGCGCGATCCGCCCCTAGCAGCGTCACACACACCCCTAGCAGCGTGACACACACCTCTAGCATCGCGTTTCACGCCCTTAGCAGCGCGTTTCACGCCCCTAGCAGCGCGTCTCACGCCCTTAGCAGCGTATTTCACGCCCCTAGCAGCGTGTTTCACGTCCCTAGCAGCGCGCTTTATGACCCCGGCAACGACACTCCCGTCCCTAGCAGTGACATTCCCAGGGGCAAGCGTCCCTGCAGCAGTAGTGGCGGCCTGTGCGGCGCGAATCACCACCCCTTCTGCAACCAGTGACTCCGGCCCCGCCCACGGGCGGAGGCGAGGCCCATGGAGGAGGAACCGGACCCCGGAGACTACTCTGCCTCAAGTCGTGGAGGGGCAGGTGGGGGGGGAGTTTGGCGGACTTGGCGGGCGGGGCGGTAAGGTGTTCTCCGCGGGGGGGTGGTTTGAAGAGACCAAGGGAGCAGGTTGGGGGGCTCCACGGGCCACGTCTGCGCCGCCTATACCGCGAGGACACCCTCTGCCAGGTGGGCTCGCCTCTCAAACAGAAGCGCGGTGGGCAGTGTTTCTGGCGGCATACAACAACGGGTCGAGCTCCTCTTGAGGTCCTACGGCACGACCAGGGTGGTGGTGGGATGCACGTCGGAGTATTCTCCCTCAGCAGTGGGGCCAGAGGGGTACAGCCAGTATGGCCAAACCGGCACTCGTGGCCGCGGCTCCTCCCTGGTCTCAGCAGAATGAGGCGGTGGCAGCTTGGGAGGCCCACCGCCGTCGCCTGCAGGGGCTGCAAGACCGGCGGAGGTAGGGAGTCGTGAGTAGAGGCAGGATGGGAGACGATCGGGCGCCACATGCGCGCCCGACTGGCGTCAATCGGGAGCGCGTCGGGCCGCGTTTGGCTCGAAGGCAGCTCTCTCGGACTCTGCAGGCGGCACAGCAAGTTGGAGAGCTGGTCCAGACACGGCCCCTCGCGTTGCAAGAGCCAGAGCAGCGGGCGTTGCTGGAGAACGGGCAACAAGGGCAGAGGGAGGCAGTCGGGGTGTGCCTTGAGCAGTCGGCGAGGAGGCAGCACGAGCAACCAGTGCGTGGGCAGTCACCGCCACTGGCGGGCGAACTGTGGGTGCTGTTGGCAGGGATGCAGCACGAGGTACAAGCGGGATGGCGGGAGACAACACAGGCGGACCATCGATGGGAGCGTGTAGTGGAGAGGCAGCAGAAGCAGCTTGTGGGTGGGCCGGGGCGCTGGTCGGAGGGTGGCAGGCGCTACCGACAGGAAGAGAGCAGGCGCTGCTGGCAGGAGGGCATCAGGCGCTGCCGGCAGGAGAGGGGCATGCACTGCCGGCAGACAGGTGGCAGGCGCTGCCGGCAGGAGGGCAGGTTGTGCGCTCGATTGTGCAACGTGTGCTGCCGGCGGGAGGGCAGCAGGGGCTGTTGGCAGGGGGGCAACAGGGGTTGCCGGCAGGAGGGCGGCAGGGGCTGTTGGCAGGGGGCAACAGGTGCTGCCGGCGGGAAGGCAGCAGGGGCGGTCGACAGAGGGGCAGCAAGCGTGGCCGTTGGAAGGGGAGCGGGCGCAGCGTGCAGGAGGGGAGGGGGTGCCGCAGGCAGGAGGGCAGCAAGCCTCGCTGACAGGAGGGCCGCAGGCATCGCTGACGGGAGGGCAGCAAGCCTCGCTGACGGGAGGGCAGCAAGCCTCGCTGACGGGAGGGCCGCTTGCATCGCTGACGAGAGGGCAGCAGGGGCTACTGCTGGGACGGCGAGGGATGTTGCCACCGAGGGAGCAGCTTGTGCTGCCGGCGGAATGGCAGCGGGCGCTCCTGAGGGAGGGGGAGCAGGTGCCAGTGGCAGGAGGACCGCTGACGCTACTGGCAGGGGGACAGCCGGGCCTACCGGGAGGCGGGCGGTAGGGGCTGCTGGCAGGCGGGCGTCAGGGTCTGCTGGCGGGAGGGCAGCCGGCGCTGCCTCCTGGGGAGCACTCGACGCTGCTGGATGAGGACCTGCAGGTGTCACCGATAGAGGGGCAGCAATCACCACTGGCGGGAAGGCAGCTGGCGCTGCCGACCAGAGCGCAGCAGGCAGGGCCGGCGGCGGGCAGCAGGAGCGACGGACCGGCAGGGGGCGGGGCCGGAGAGCAAGGAGGCAGCCGGCGTCGTTGGGGATGGGGAGCGGCAGGTGGGAACGCCACTGGGGGTGGACGCGGGACGACATCAGG